CAGAGCCAGCGCGGACAGGGCCAGCACGGCGGCGGCGACGGCGGCGGCGGCGGCGGCGGCCGCGCGCGTTCATGGCAGGCGCGGGCGCCGCTCCGCTGGCGATGTGGGCCGCTCCCGCCCGCGCCGCCTCGCGCTACTCGCGCGCCGCACCATCTGCCAACACGCGCCGCTCCGCTCAGCCTCAGCTCTTCAACGATCGACCAGCTGCGAGAAGAAGGCGAGCCCGTTGGTGTACTTATCAAACCGATAAGTCTTACGAAATGTGCTGTTTGAGCCGCGGCGTAAGCGTACAGCAATCGACAGCAATATCATATTCTGCCGCATGAGCAGATGGCTCGTAAGTGACGCGAAACGCGGACTGCGTTGCGCAGAAAGATCTCGTATATTGCTCTCGATTGCATGTAACGCCACACCGCCCTGCTTAAACTAAAAAAAATGTTCGTAATATTTCTGGCCGTACGTTGTATGAATATTCTGGTTGAAATAAACCGGCCGTCATTCGTAAATCAATATTATCATAATTTATTAATTCTTACTCAAAAAATTATTGCTACAAGTTGTATGTAGTTATCCTCTCTGAACAGATTTAAAAAAAATATTATTAAATATCCTCAATGTTATAAAAAAGATTGTCCTATTTCTTTGATGACTTTAATTCACACGTATCTATGTTCCCATTTGCTTTTCGGACATTGTGATTTTGTAGAAATTCCTACTTTTTTTTTTTAGTGAGAATTTGAGTAGATCGCTCGAGAAAACTATCCACAGCCACAACTAATAGCCACTGAACGGGCATTAAAAACAGTTGGGCACTGGGCTCAACTAACGAATGATTCTGTTTGGGCCACTAGCAAAAAGAACACTGGATGGCATTGACAAAAATCATGAAGGAAAAAGCGAAAGAATATTACAAACACATTTTCCGAGAGGTAATTAAGTGTAAATTTGTTGTAAAAAATAAATGTTAAAGTGAATAATATTACACCCTTAACTATGTGATATAAGTTTAAGTAAAGATTAACTAGATGTAATAAAAAAAACGCATATTAAACTTATAACATACAAAAATATAACTATCTTAAAATTGTTGTTAATCATTCCCTACTTTCCAATCATTCTTTCGGCATACCCTCCATACACAAGTTTGAAGTGTCTAAAATTTCACGTTCTGTAGTGAGACAGGAAAGTCTCTCCGCACTGAGTCGAGTCAGGGCCTCACATAAAAAATTGCATTATGTCGTAGTAACCATAACACTGGAAAAAACAAAGTTGAAAGGGACAAACACTTCTAGCCATCTGCTTATGATGTGGTTAGTAGCGCAATTTACTTTTTAGAAACTGAAGATCGTGCAATCACAATAATATAGTTGCTAGCACTCTCACCAGTAAAGATGCTGCTGAGGAGAGAGTACTATTCTTTTGACGCCGAGGTACTATCCACATTTTAACTTTTCGCAAAATTTGAAAATTTGCAGTATAAACCGGTAATAATTGACAGTGGAAGTTTGAATATATTTTTGTATTACACATTTTTTATAAACGTGCCACAAAATACTGTTTTTCTGTATATTGTCACCCCGAAACGGGTGATTCTTCTAAAATTTGAAGTTACATTTTTAACAGTATTTATCCTGCCTTTATAGTACAAGAAATTAAAAGAGTTACACTTGCCTATTATTTTTAGCGAAACTTCACTCAGGCAAAAGCCAAAACACATTTATTTTGCTCACCTCTGACAAAAATTACCGTGGACACATTTATTGAGTACCTTGTTCTGCAACACCGAATTAGTTTTTAAAAACTGAATAACCTACCTTATCTTGACCACCATCTTTAAATTTGATCACCTTTGAAGGGAAGAATCTAAGATGAATTCACCTGTTTTTGTAAAGGAAATATACAGAGCGGCAGGTAGAATCAGAAAATTACCAAATTACAAAAAAACTGCATCAACATTCAAACGATATAATACTAAAGTGAAAATGGTGAATTTCAATAAAGTTGATGAAACGAAAATCGGTCGTTCGTCAGACGAAATGAATAATGTTCGGTTTTTGTGAATGTACAATGCTGCAGCAAAAGAAGACAATTTTTTTGATAGAAAAACTCGTGGTTCTGGCTTCTGGAACAAAAAAAAATCATTTTTGCTCCAATATGAAGTAAATTACTTCCTCTATTATGTTCTTTTAGAAAACGTTTAGTGCTTTTCTTAATCCTGAAAAATATTTGTTTACATAAATGGCAAAACATTTCTGTAATGAACGCGGCTAGCATATAAACACAGGAATTTCCAGAAAATTTATATTACATATATCTGGCTGATATCGCGACCCCTTGGAAATTGAAACGTGCTTTGATATTTTAGAGGTAGGTTAATGTAACTACCTCTAAATATCAAAACAGCGGTCTTCAAATATTGTTAAAAATCAGCTTACATTTTATCGTTAAGTTTTTTTTCCTAGATATGCAAAGAACGCTTTGTAAAAATAGAGCAAATACGAATTTCAGCGACTTCTCTGGATATTCGAAAAAATTGCAAAAGTTTTAAATGTTTGAATTCCTCCCACCAAGGAATGTTTTTCATATATTTTTTCTTTAGTTGCCATCTGTCCTCAAAAATAATCATGCTCATTTTAATGATATTTAATAATTATAATCTTAATAAATAGGATAATAAAATTTTAATACAGAAATTGCCATGCATATTTCTTTTCAAGGACACCCAGAAATTCATTCAACAAGTACCGAGATGGGCTTATACGAGTCAGTTGGGCTCTGTTTGTGTAGTATCACTATTTTCTCTTATAGCACCGGAATAAAAGAATGCTGATATTCTCAACTTTTCTTTTCTTTCCCAAAGCTAACGTACTACGATACTAAAATAAACTGCGGTAAAATCTCCAGCGTTATCACTCGAACTTCACAATCCAATAAAAAAAAAGAGACAAAAAATTGAGAAAATGGTTCCGCCTCTGACACCTGAAGATGTTATTTTATGAGCGATGTAAAAAAGTATACAAAATAATTTCCGAAATAAGGGCCATCCACACTGACCTAATTCTAGCAAGTTTTTTTACCTGCACGTCTCAAATACATGCTAGGGAAAATTGTTTTTTCATTTTAAAATTTTTTCTTGGGGGAAAGTTTTTCCCCAAAACTAATTTTTTTACATCCGGGTATTCTATAAAATTTTATTCGGTATATTTGTAAAATACTAGTGCTTTTTAGTAAACTATTTCCCGGATTTCTCTTGTTTTAGAGGTGAAGAGACTCAGTCTTCTCTTTCCAATGGGCCCAATTCGATCAAAAATCCACAAAAATAAATATAATTATAGAAATTGGAATGAGTTGCGAAACTCCCTTTTTCGGAAATTTTAACGTTGAACTAATTCCTTTGTTTTTCGAGAGATATTCTTCTCCCCACAGAAAAATGTTTGTACTTTACAAGAATGTCAGCACACGCCTCTTTTCCCAAATATATACTTGCTCTCCCAAAAACTCCTTGAAACAAACACAACCCGCACATTAAGATTTTCCACATGCCTTTAGTTCGAGAGTCTTTATTGTTAAACATGAGAATGTGTGACAAAGACGTGTGTACGTTGGAGTGCTTGTGCTACATTTATATTCTTTATCCCAAACTCAAAATGGTTTTTCTTTTAGAAATCTCCATAAGAATAGCAATTTTATAATAATATTAACGGAGATGCAAAAAGGTTTTTTTCATAAGTGAGAAAGAATTACTCCCAATACATCGAAAATGGCGTTTACATGTTGAATACTACTAAATGTTTAAGGAAAAATATTTTCGATTATGGACTAAGATAAGCATCTTCTTCTTCTATAAAAATTAATTTAATGGCTATTATCTCTGCAAAAACTTTTTCCAATAACGATAATCCAATTTTCAAGAAATTTTTATACTGATACAATTTTAACTTGGATACTTCAACAAGGTACTTTCGTCTCGACTGAACTTGATTAGGATTCCGGAAGTACCGTCGACTGCTAAGCTGTTAGCTGATTTTTCAATCTGGGAAGTGGTTTTGGTGATTCTGCCCCGCTAGAAGCGCGATCCGATCTGACTCCCTACTTCACCGACGCTAATACTAGGAGCGCGTAGCGATCGCTTGCCGGCGAACGTCAACATATACTTGATAACTCAAGGTATCGCCCCACCAGCGGGCACCGCCCAGCTGAGACCCAAGTCAAAAGCTCCGACCATGGCAGGCGGCGGGCGCGCTCCGCTGGCGATGTGGGCCGCTCCGCCACGCGCGCCTCCGCGCTACTCCGCGCGCCGCGCCATCTGCAACACGCGCCGCTCCGCTCAGCTCAGCTCTTCAAACGATCGACCAGCTGCGAGAAGAAGGCGAGTCCCGTTGGTGTACTTATCAAAACCCGATAAGTCTTACTAAATGTGCTGTTTGAGCGCGGCGTAGCGTACAGCAATCGACAGCAATATCGATATTCTGCGCATGAGCAGATGCTCATGTGACGCGAAACGCGTACTGCGCTTGCGCAGATCTCGTATATTGCTCTCGATTGCATGTAACGCTACACCGCCGTACTTAAACTAAAACAAACGTTCGTAATATTCTGGCCGTACGTTGTATGAATATTCTGTGTTGAAATAAACCGGGTAATGTAAATCAATATTATCATGAATTTATTAATTCTTACTCAAATAAAATTATTGCTACAATAATTGTGTGTGTAGTTATCCTCTCTTGAACATATTTAAAAAAAATTATTAATATCCTCAATTAATAAAAAAGATGTTGTCCTATTTGTTTGATGACTTAATTCACACGTATCTATGTTCCCATTTGCTTTTCGACATGATTTGTACAAATACTTACAATATTATTTTTAGTGATGAATTTGAGTAGATCGCTCGAGAAAACTATCCACAGCCACTAACTACAGCCACTGAACGGCATTAACAGTTGGCACTCGGCTCAA